GAATACACCTGAATGTCTCCATAATACCTGAGATACTATGCTATTAGTTGGGGCACCTCAGTCCTCCTTTAGCTACTGGCTAATGAGAATTAGCTGATAGTTGATGAAATTATATACTGTTCAAGTCCTCTTGTAAGAGCCTTACTTTTTATCCTTCTTAGTTTATAGTTCCATTAATCTACAGTAAATTAATTCCATACTAAACCTAGTCTTTGTGTTTAGAGAAAGATGCAAAAGTCCTCAGGACTAGAAATTGGTGATAAGAGACAGAAGGTCTCCACAGGCTTTAAATTGTGATTTCCAAAAGTGCCGCACAAACAGCTATGTATGGAGACTCTTTAAGGTCAAATTTTGTTATTCAGTCCCCACTCTAATGTCCTACTCAAACGATCCTCCATGAACAAAATTTTGTGAATTTCTCCTGTAAATTAACTCTTTAACACAATTAAGTTATTATAATGCTTTACATCCCTCCACGGGATTTTAGCACACCACATGATTATTGCCAAGTACTTGCAATGCAGAAAAGTAAAATTGCTCACAGTACTTTCAAAGGTGGTAACTGAAATATTATAAATAGTTCATTAAATACTGTCCATAACTCACTGACTCATATATATTAATTGTTCTCCTTCCTGAAATAATATCAGGTAAAAATTGCACTTAATCCTTGGACAAAACCTTCAAAGAATAAGGTGAAGATAAATCACTTACAAACAATGTTTATAAAACCAGTCCCAGTGAGGCTTCTTTGTTTATTGAAAGGCTGCTAGAAAATGCATTACTAACTTTAATTTGGTAGACTGTACTTACCCAAAATAAATCTAAGCCATTGCTGGACCACCACAATTCATCAAGTTAACTTATTACATGGGAAGAATTTCTTAATTGCCTCCACGGTAATTTATTTAAAATGAAAGTGAAAAGAAATCACAAATTAATCATCCTTTCCAATTATTTCTTTCCCAACTTAGTGGGACTGCTTATCTTCAAGATTTTGTTCCTACTAGTACAACATAAGACTGCTCAGTGAAGTTCACTGAGCATCCAATTTCGTACCACATTTTGGTTAGTGATACAGCTGCTGCCCTGACATTTTCAGTCTTCAGAATGGTTACAAGAATTAAATTGAACTGGCAAGGACTAAGTTGTGAAGTCAAAATTTGAGTCATCTCTGATGACTAATCAGTATTCAAGTGCTAAGGTTGTATTCAAACCACTTATCTTACTTCTTCACAATTACTGAAAACTACTTCAACAATCTGTAGCTTGATGCTTCAATGAACCAAATGCATTTGTAGGGATATTCCACTTGGCAAGCAATGGAGACATTTTTAGATTTTTATCATCTTGTTAGACTCTCTTCCTAGTCCCCAGAGGTGGTAATTCAATAACTGCAGGATTAATCCAAAAGAAAAGCAGTCAGAGGCTAAAATCCACTTGAGAGTTTTTTAATGAATTTAAGAAAGGATAACCAGGCAAGTCAGAGGGGTGTGCAACTTATCAATGACTTATCAAGTTTTCATGGTGCAGTAGTTCTTGCTATTCTAGTTATGCACTATATCCACACTTTAGGAAAGAGCTATGCTTGGATTTATAGCAAACAGGCCAGATGCTGGTCTTTGTCTTCATATTTTGATATGCAACAGAAGATGGGGGAAAAAAAAAAAATCTTTCCTTTCCAAGATGATTAGAGAAAAAGGTGATCAAAACACTACAGACTGATGGGATATTCTAATTAGCAAGGAAAACAGCACGCTGCATACTTGGCTTTCAAGTGAGATGACATTAAGCTTAAGTCTTAACTTTGTGGTCCTTAAAAGGGTCAACACTGATAAAAAGGAAAATCTATTAGGAAAATGAGAAAGTATCAGCTATTTGTCCCAACATCCAAATAAAACAATGAATGTCTCTACTTTTACCTGCATGTCACCTCATATCTCTTGAGCACAGGATGGCTGCACCAGCTGCTCACTGGGGACACAGGTGGCTGCCAAGTGTGCAGTCAGCCCTGGCTGCTGCAGGATATAACTGGGACTCTTGAAGGGGCTGTATCGTGTCTGGGCAGGCAGAAATCTCTCTCCCTTCAATGCATTTGGCTCCATCAAGAAAGTACTTTTTAATGCATATAAAGGGATAAATTCACCCTACCCTAGTAGGTTCATTTCCTTTCCTGCAATGCACTGGAGAAACAGCCAGGCCAGGCCTACCTGAAAATCAGCTGGTTGCCTCTATTGCTCCCCACCTGCTGCATGACCCAGAGCATACCTTCAACTATGCAGAATCACACTCAGAATAGAACAGAAGAATGGGAATTATTAAATTCCCTTTAATAAAGTTCAAACAAAGGAGCAAAATTAACCCAAGTCTATACAGACTCAAAACCAAGGATCTCTGAATAAAGTTCTCCCACAGCTATGACACCAGCCTTAAAGAAAAGTGCACTCCCAGTCTTTGCTTTGCCGAGAAGCATACTACTTCTGCTTCATAGCCTGCCAACCACATGGTAAA